AGCTTTCTGACCAAACTCAGTATGAATACAAATAAGTCTATGTGAGGAAGAATTATTCTGTAGTCATACTATTTGCTTTGTGTTGTAATAATGTTTGGATTGGCTTCATTCATGCATTAAAGTATAACTGTAATAAGGGGAAGTGAACATACAGTTCATTTGTGTCCTAACTGCCCAAAGCTTGACTTATTTTCCTTATACAGCCTATTTCTAGAAAATATTATTCAAAAATTTGGTGTATTCAAAGATTTGGAAGACTGCCAGAAATATGTCTTGATCCATGCTGCGCAATACATGAAATTTATTATGAAACTTAAATTAAACCTCAATTTCATTTTGTGGAGATATTTATGCACAGCATGTTGGCAGCTTTGGCTAATATTTAAGATCTCTATATTTGAACTAGTATTTTTTTTATGATTTTATTATTATTTTTGCTCTTCTCACTGAAAAAATTTCAAAGCTATGAATAAAATGAATTATAATAATTAACTGCTACTACTGTTTATAATATAAATACATAAATGGACATAGAACAGTGTCATGTCATCATATTAAATGGGAAGTGAATCCTAGTCCACTGACTAACCAAACTTCACTCTTTGGTATGCCCATTTTTCCGCCAGTCTTCAAAACCAATTTCATTTCATCTCTAAAAAGTACAGAAGTCCTATGTATAAGTTGTTTACCCACATCACATTAACTTAAAGTTGAGATATTTGTTTTAAGGGTGTCGTAAGATCCCATAGACAAGTTCACATCCCCACTCCTTGCTTCTGTGGCAAACTTTGTTCTGTTACTAAATATGTGGTGGGAAGAGTTTTTTTTTCTTTTCTTTTTTTTTCTAAAACAAGAAATCGATACTTGGGAAGGGTATCACTTTCTGTTGGGTTTCTTTTATTAGATGTTATCATAATTTTGTATCAGCTACTTCCGTTTTACCCTTTGGCTTTCATTTTGACTGTTGCTCATTATCTGTGTCGCTTCTGGCAAGATGCTGTATGGGCTTTTTGTGCTACTCCCAAATTTGATTAATTTTGTGAATTGTTTCGTAATAGAATTTTGAAGTGATTAAGGAATAGCTCAGACAGAGCTTTGTTAAAATTAAAATAGATTCACATTTGTTGAAATTTTGACAGCGATATTCAAATATAGCTTTTTTCCACTTCTTTGCTTCCTCATTCATAAGTGCAATCAGCTGTTTTGATAAAAAATACTACGGAGTGAGAAACATAAATTTGATTCCATATGCTTGGTTAGGTAGGAGTGTTTAACTCAGCATGTGCTGTCATTACCCCCTTTTCGGCAAGAGTCAGACATTCTGGACTGTTCCTAGCTGAGCCAGAGAATCTGTCTCCAGAGATCAATCCAACTCCTTGGGTACTCTCACTGAAAGCAATCAGTTTAACATTCCTCTACTTGTTTCTAGTGTACTTGTATAATCACCAGCTTTTCTGTATACCTGTACTGTATGTTTGTTCATCTGTTAAACTGATTGCATTCACTGAGAGTCCTCCTAGACTTGGAATGTTTTAATGGGAATGAGCCCTTAGATTATTTTAATGGGAATGAGTCCTTAGACAATTAAGCATTTAGGACAATTTGCAGTCTGAGATGGTCGTGGTCTGAACGTGACATGATAGCAAGGATGAGTTTTGAATATGACCTGAAATAAAGTTATCCCTGCTGAGCAGAGAACAGACCAACTTTGCAACTTGTCACTCTCAATTCTGTCTTCTTGAATCCTGATTAAAGTTTCAGAAGTGATGCAACACTCATGACATCCAGTTGAGTCAGTGGCTTTAATTGGAATAAGGGAAACACTTAGTGCAAACGAACCGCCTTCTTTAGACTAATGTCTTGATAGTCCTCTAAAATATTAACTGCTTTGTTTGCAACAATTATTTATTGGTGAAAGTTCATCTTTTATCTTTTGTAAAAAAATAAACAGACAAAATGTGAGGGGATTTATTTTCAGTAATATAGACACAGTTTGCTCAAATTTTCATTTTCATCGCAACGTTGGTTTTACAAAATTTATTATGTTGTTAACTAATGCTGCCCAAGTTTTAAGAACCATAGACCCCATTTCCATAGATTTAAGATCGATCTATCCCTGTGGGGCTTCTCACTAGATTACTGTCAGTTTAGCCGGCTTAAGCGTCTGTCCCGCCTACTGAAAGCTGTAATGGGGTAATTAACTATGGTGCGTGCTTGGCTGACTGCAATTTAGCGTGAACCCCCAGGGAGTTAGGTCGATCTAAATCTAAATCTCTGGGAATGCACCCATAGTCTTTGGTGTTAAGGTGGGAGTGAAGAGAGCTTGGTGTGGTTTTGAAACAATAAGTACCCACTTAATTTGTACATAGCTGGTTATTGGTTTTCTTAGTATAATACTTTGTGAATAAAAGGCGAATAGAAAACATTTGAAAGTTATGAAAGGCTGTGTACCCAAAAGCTTCCTTTTTGTTAGCAACTGAGACTGATGATAGATCTTGAAAAGAAATTATTTAAATTGGAATAAGTGAGATATTTCATATTTGTGGAACTTTAATGTATCTTCTATTATACCTTGTCAAATGCACCGTATGTAAACAAAGCTCAACCTAGCTGTGTTCACAATATTTGTGGCTGCACAGTATTGTGAGGAGTAATTACACGCAAACCACCAAAAATTCCTTTCAAGTTTTTATCTTGTAATGCAATAGTAGTGACTTGTACTTATTTTCCCCTTCAGAAATTGAGGGTTTTCCTGTGTGTAATGTAGCAGTTTTATGAATGAAGAGAAACGAGAACTCTGGCATTGACTAAAGGAACGTTTACACTCTGCTGATTGGGTTGATATTGATCCAAAGTCACAAAATGGGTTTAACAAGCAAGCATTTTTCAAGTTGGGATATATCTGTTTACATGGACTTTAAATTTGTAGCATTTACCATAGATTAGTGCCTTTGTCATAATCTATTTCTGCCACAGAACTTATTTTAAACCTCAAAGCAAGTTTTTTATTTTATGAAGGGTATACTGTACATGTTTGAAAATGTCCTGAAGTCATTTTTGTATGTCTAAATATCCTGCAATTTGCAAAGCTACTTAACTTTCCCAGATCAAACCTCAAAAACCATAAAACTCATGTTGTCAATATTTCCTCCTGAAATGCACAAGTAGACATGCTGGTCTAAGACCCCATTCCCACAGATTTTAGATCGACCTATCCCTGTGGGGAGTCTCACTAGATTACTGTCAGCTTAGCCAGCTTAAGCATCTGTCCCGCTTACTAAAAGCTGTAAGGGTGTAATTAACTACCGTGCACGCTCGGCTGACATCGATTTAACGTGAACCCCCAAGGAGTTAGGTCGATCTAGTGGGATCGATCTAAATCTCTGGGAATGCACTCTAAATGGCTGGTTAGAACTAGTTGACATAGAGAAAAATGGTATATTGCACCAAATCCAAGAGATGGGTTGACCAATGATTCATGATAATGATGAGCGGGGTTTCTATGGTGAATTTAGGGTTCTTTCACATGAAAAATCTATTTTCTAAAAATCTATTGGCAGTATCTTGTGATCACAGTCTGTGCCCTGAATACCCCACAGCGTAATTACTGGCAGCGCGAGCCAGTTACTTCCAAAGCTGTAATTAATTCTCAGCTGCGCTCGGAGGAGATTCTGACACCTTGACGCATGCGCAGTAGTATCTCTAATCTGTGGAGTTCATCAGTTTAGTTGTGACGACTCAAGCATACAGACGCGTAATATGGCTAGTGGTAGTGCTTATTGTTGCACAAAATTGACAAACACATTTTTCAAAGCAATTGTGACCACCATTTACTTTCTAACTTCCTATTGCGCATGCGTCAAGGTATGAGAATCTCCTCCTATTTTCTATTTTGTATTATGTAGAGTTAGTAAAATAATTATTCTATTGATGCCTTGCACAAAATATTTCTGTATGCCCTGGCAGCATTGCTAACATTATGTGTATATATGTTTTCTCATTAATTTTATACGCAATATAATAACAACAAAAAACAAAGTGAAGTGATAGACAATTCTAGAAGTATAAATGCCTAAAGTTAACAACCTTTGCTAAGGTGTCAACTTTATTTGTGTGCATGCACTCATTTCTGCCACCGGAATTGTGTGTATGTAGCCTGCCACCGGAATTGTGTGTATGTAGCCTGCCACCGGAATCGTGTGTATGTTGCCTGTTAACCTCACAGTTGGACGGATGACCTGGCGTGGCCTCTAGACTGTCAACGATGCCAGGCCAGATTAACAAGCGAGAGAGAAATTAGTAAAGGCGGAATCTAGAAGTGTGGAGATATACATGTACAAGTTTGGGGACAAATTATCTTAGGAGGGATTTGAAAGTAGGAACAGTAGTGGGAATAAAGCATCTGTGTAAAATATCTGTCTTCATATCCTATGTGGTACAGTAGCAATAGTCAGGATTAAAAATTAAGGGTAAAAATTGAAGGTAAAAATGAAACTAGAAAGAAAAATCTGGAATTCTGGTACAACAAAAAACTGAATCGATTATCAGTAAGTGAAGAATTAAAACTAACAAACATTCATATTCATCTTTACCATCATTATTATCCATTGCACCCTCTATGGTGTACCACTGTGGATTGCAATCGACTTCAAAGTCTGTGTGAAAGTGTGTGTGAAATTGCCCACCAATGTTGTTGCAGTATCTGTACATATTAACCAAGTGCTGATACCAAAGAGTAAACAGTGGAGATAGGCCAGTCAACATGGCAATAACAGTGTTGCCCAGGGCACAGACTTGGGGAATAGACATGTCTAGGGCGATACCAGGTTGAGATGTTGGTTTTTCATCATATGTCTGTATGTCTTTGAGTACTTTATGTGCAGTGTTTCATATTTTGAGTTTTGCCAGGTTAGGGGGTAGGGTATTATGGTTATGAACTTTAAGCTGTAATAGTGTGTGCTGTCGTGATTCAATGTGTAAAAAATTATGAAAAAATGTATGGACAGTTAAAGTGATTTACATCTAAAAACTTTCAGAAAATTAAATCGGAGCAGTTGAGTTTTAGGATATCAAGATTACAAAATGAGGTAAATTAGATATTAATAAATGAAAGAAAGAGTTTTTCTGCTGCACGTCACTCTACAAAATTTTAGCTGAACATAGTTGCAACTTTGTTACAAACGACTAACTTAATGTAACTTAATTCATCGTAATATCAACCAGGAATAACAAAACTATAGATTTGAAGCAAACCAATCTACCTAACCATATCTACACACAGCGTACACACAAACACACCTCTGACAAAATACTGAAACGTTACATTTTTATTTTCTTGTGGGCTGGATTTTCAGCTCATAAGATTTCTCAAATTAAAATGGAAAGCAGTGGTCACCATTTGATGTTTTATACAAAGTGTATAAATCAGTGGAGCAAAGGGCTCCTGTTAAAATTTATTACCTATCACAATAGATGAATTCATTCTCATTGGGTTTGAGATCATGGTAATTTTTATGTGGAAATATCAAACAACTTTTTTAAAAACTTGTTAAATAGATAAAGAAGAAAATTTGGTCAATACCCCAGTTTCTGACGCTAGGCGTATATAACATCAGCATATCTACAATGTTTACTTCCAAATATTTGTGAAAACTATAGCGCTGTAAGGTATGTTTGAACAACGCAGAAAAAGCATCAACAAAAGGAGAACAATTCGTGTCCTTACATGTTCGGTCAACACCATAAAAGTGTCAGAGTTAAAGGTGACATCCTCATCTTTGTGTCACCCTCCTCTCTGGCTTGTCATGCTACACAAACTGTCACATTATTTCTTAGTTACAAATATGCTTAGTAATTGTCGATCGCGGCTTTCCAGTGTGTTCCAGCTCCCCTGCAGTTTTATTGTGCGTTTTTGTTGCTGCGAAAATCTTTTTTGTAAAACTGTGATTTTTGTTATCAGGTGTCGTTAGAAGTGCCACTTATGGCGATGCTAACAGTTAGTGTCTTCCTGGGCCTTTGACCTGTTTTTCTGGCTGTTATAAAGGCCACAATGGAATTACGTTTATTATAGGACTATGTAGGAGGTCTGATGGTGGGGTGTTGGGGTCAAAAGTCCTGCAAAATATATCAGTGTTACTGTGAAATGTTGGCCCAAGGAGTTGCTATTACTTGCTGTACATAATATCTGTTTTCGTGTAACTATAAGAAGATATTTTGAAATGTTAGTGCGTAATGTGCAAGGACAATAGAAACGGCTATTAGTTGGGATTTTTGTGGACTTGTTCTGGACATTTTATTTAGTAAATGTTTGCTTAACTTTGTTTCAGAAGGTTTGTCCTCATTTTTGACAGTCTTAGTTTTTTTTTTCCTCTAAATTATATAGTATATGGTTTAATTGATTTGTATAATAAATTTCCTGTTTGAAATGATCTCATTAAGTTTTCTTAATGAAAAAATAAGTAGTGGTAAAAGGAAACTGTGAGAAACTTTGTTATTTACAGTAGTTGGGTGTATGCCATCCAGTAATTGATTTTAAATTATTTAGATTTAAACTGTGATTGCCTGCTTTTAAAAATAGAGGCAGAGCTGTAAGTTAGTTTAGCTCTAGGGATAGATTGGCATCTATGTATATAAAACGCCTTGTTTTAAAACTCGTTTATCTAAATACTAGTATTAAACAATATGTTATGTAGCCCTGCTTATCTGTATATAAATATTGCACTGTGCTTTTCTAGCTCAGTTTCTTGAATTATGTCAAACACAAGCTCTATTTACAAATTAAATAATTTTGATTTCAAAACGCTGCTCATCTGGTTAAAAACTTCAACAATATTGATGCAACTTTTTAAGGAAAAACGTACTAAATACATAACAAGAAAGAGAAAAAAAGTTGGTGGGAACTCTCTATTAAATCTGCATTAACAAAGAAAGCATTCGCAATCAGTTGATCCTCTAACTAACTAGTCTGTGGATCAAAAATGGCACACACTTGAAAGCAAGCCATATAATCAACCAACAATAATGTAATGGATTCCCCGCCTCCCACTTACGCTGTCACAGCAGAGGCAGAGCAATTTAATCTCGGCACTTGCTTAAAAGTGGGTCACGACACATTTGATCCATTAACTAGTTAGTCCGCAGATCAGCTGGTTGTGAACGCTCTCGAACTTAGCCTGCTGAAGGGCGGTTTGGACAACCAGTAGTTGGTGAAAGTAGAAGCTTGAAGTTATTCAGATTGGTGGTTTCTTATATATACATTTCATACATATTTCTCTTACACGTTGATTTTACATTTTTGGCGGATCCCCAATGAAGATTGTGTATAAATGTTGTCTTTGCATCTGTGGAAAAGAGAATTTTCCTTTTTTATAATTTATTTTATTATTTATTTTTTTTTTTGTTTTATTACAGTTATAGTAATAAAAATGTCATTTTGAATTTTCCCAGGATTTAATGACTAATTTCCATTTTACCTTGCAGGCTCTGGGTTGGCTGTACCTGCCAATAAGTTATCTTGTGGAGAAATTAGAAGCCATCTTGCCATCCAATATCCTTCAGCAGTTGTCCAGAATCTAGCTCAAGGTCAAGGCTGAGTCAATGTCAAGGTCGAGACTGGGTCATGGTCAAAAACATGGCGGCCAAGTCAATGAGGAGTCTTAACAATGAGACCAATGTCCAGAAAAAGAAGAAAATATGATCTGTATTTATTTGTTGTCAAACAACACTAGTTGCTTCAATGTTAAGTTGCAAGCATTTTATAGTATTTGTTTTAGTCTTATAAACATGGTAAATGTCAGGTATAATTTTGAACAGCAGAAAAATGGAGAAACAAGATGTGAAAATAAACTGCAAAGCCAGTGACATTAGATTTAGAGAAAACATAAGAGACAAGAGTTCTATTAGGATGTTTGTTTGTTTGTTTATTTATTTTTATAACTTCCCAGTTTATGGCCATGGTCATCAGTTAAAATGTTATCAGAAACTTTTCCTAATTTAAGTGAATTGAACGGATTTCACAGTGAATAAAGCAAAGACATCAGGAGAGTTATGTTAAACTTAAAAAATGCAATATTGAATGTTTTGGTAGTTTCCAGTGAAAAAATTATCTGTGCACTAATCATGTTTTTAATCTACACACAATATTTCTCTGGGAATAATAGAAAGGGAAAAGGCAACACTTGGTTGAAAGTTAATTTTCTGTAACAAAAGTATAAGATGGTCAGCATTTGCTTTCCTCATGTTTGTAAAGTGCAATCTGACAAAGGAACTCTGGAGATAGGGGTTATCTTGGAGATTTAAGAGACATCTATGATCTTGTTAACTATTTGATTTGTTGTAATTTACTTATTTTTGTTAATTTAATTGTGCTTTCACAATAAAAATAAGTACACTGACGTTGACCTGTGGTTTGGAGTATTTGATAATTACTGAAGAAACGACATTCAGTCAAACAATTATTATTTATCTTAACCAGGCAGTGGCTTGAAAATTCCAAAAGGCCAGTTGACAAAAAAAGATGAGTCTTAAATCTTAAAATGTTTAGTTTGTGTCCAAATCATAATCTCTCCAAATTGCTTTTAACTACGCTCGGAAAGATTTCAAACGTCGAATATGAAAACCAGTTTTAAAAGATTCACCAGAGTCCAGTTCGAACGTAACCAGAATTGAGGAGAGATGCCTCATATTCCATGCAAGCTCGTGCACTTTAGGGGGCGTCTCGATAGTCCGAAGGTTCATTGGTCCGAAAAATGGTAACTTTTTCATCGGTTTTTTTTAATCAAGGGTTCATTGGTCCGAAGGTTCTATAGCGAACATTCGGACCAATGAACCTTCGAACTATTGAACCTTCGGACTATTGCAACGGCCCCGCACTTTATACCTAAAATAGACTGCTTGAAAAGTATCCATTGGGTTAGGACACGAAGCGTACAAAGATTAGTTTCTTCTAAGACTGGACTACATGTTAAAACAAAGTTGCTGATTTGAAAACACGATTTTGTCAAAACCCATATTCAAGCAATTATATGTAAAATGAAATGTTTTAAAGTTGATTTTTTTTTTCACGGGCGAAAATTTGGCATTATCAGTATGTTCAAAATCCTGAGAAAACTTCCTTTCAACCCGACTTTTTAGATGGCAAGAAAATGTGCATACATAATTTCGGTTTTGATTGCTATATTGAAAAAAAAAAGAATCTAATTTACGCATCCGATCAAATGAACACAACCTTTCTTTAATATTCGTGACATTATATCTCCGGATTGCCAACATATCAGTATGGTTGCCACTCGAAGTAGTTTTTACTTGTGTACGCTTATTTGACGTTTATTATGATGAGGTAAAGCGTATGCTAGAGAGTGTACGCTGAAATTTCTCAATTAACAGTTTATTATTTTCAACTTATCCTAAAACTGCGAAATAAATACAAAGAGAATGTCGATATTTTAAAGCAGTTTAATATTCTATTAGCAGTGACTACCATGGAAATTGGCAAAAAAATATTTTAAAAAGAAGCACGAGTTTCATCAATACTAAGACTACTACAATATTGCACCAAGGGGTATTCCCCGTTCCATAGTTACATATTTACTTAGTGTTATAACGATGCTGATAAACGAAGTAATATATACAATACAATATATGCTATAAATTCCTATTGTAATCCAACACAAAACAAACATATTATTTGTCTCTGTTTAAACCTCCGGTTCATAATAAATATGCACAGCTTTAAATACATTCAAATATGAATTATGTTCTGTCATAAATAAGGTACCGTCCCACAACAGCAGGATAAAGCAATATTATTTAAATAAGTGTCACTTTAAAAGAAGAATACAAAGGAATATCTCTGAAATATCAACAAATTATATACATAATTTACATTATCAGAATGAAATAAACGGCTTTACATAATATCTTTAACAAAATCTACTAAATATATGGCCTATCTTCTAATAAAAAGATATTTGCAATAGTAATAACATGTTAAAAGGCATTTTGACAATCATAAATACTTTACTGCTTCCTCATTTGGTCTACCACAAGTTCATGAAGACTTTCTCAATTTGAACGAGGAAGAGTTAGTTTGAGGAAGACAACATGATGAGCCTTCAGATAGAGTACAAAATACAAGGTAAAAGTCTCCATGTATCAAACTTGCTTCTCACTGCACAATCTGTATCGTATCGTTGTTTCCCTGGCAAACACAAAACATGACAATTTATAGTCCTTTAAGTAGCTTTCCAGCCAGCTTAATCATTTTATATAAGGCTGGGTTTTGATCGTACACAGCAGTTTTGGTTATGAATATTTACTGGCTCTTGATGCGATTCCATTCATACTGATATATGTGCATTATTCTTTTGCATAGTCTTTAAACAATTAGATCATCAAATGTGATATCAAGAACTGTTTCTCGCGCAAGGATGCTGTTTACTCTGCCTCGCTGGAAATATTTTATGTATCCTTTTTGCAACAGTTTCTCTCTCCACGTATATTTTGCTCACCGGTTTACATCCCCCAAGTCTTCTCCTTTTTTATTTTAAAGAGACTTGAATTTAATCTCCTGCAACCACTTTTTCATCGTTTTGTCACCGACAAGTATCAAACATCGTAACTGATAAAAAAAATGACTTCAAAGAGACCCACTGGTCATTATCCGGGTTGCGTCACCGTCCAACCATCTCTTGAACCTATTACGATGCACATTATTGCTGTTTTTCCTGACGTTCGGTCCCTTGCAAGTGTGGACGTCGACGACGCGCGAGCACTCTTTGCACTTGACGTAGCAGCACCAGTGAAATTTGCACTCACATTTGGTAGTCTGTACCACAGTGGTGGTGTCGTACCCTCTTCCACAGCACATGATATCACAGCCGTCTGTACCCATGGAGTCCTTCTTACACTCCCGTCCTGCTGTACCGAAAGAGCCTGAGGAAATGAGAAAAAGGAGTGATTATTTTCTGAACCATTCTGGTCTATTTGTAGTTTTTGTCTCTTTGAATGCATCATTTTACCCTTTCAAAACATGTTAACAATTTCCATATTAGCTGTTGATTGAAGAAAAAAATACTACTTTATTCTTATGTTTCTTTTTACATTAACATATGCCATCATTAATATATTCCAAATTTAAAATTGGAAGAGCCTCATGTAATTCATTTAAAGGTATAATCTACGAGATATACAATCATTACTTTGTCTCAGTCACATTAGACTCGAAATTTGTAGTTCATTGCCATGCTTGAATAATTAAGGTAACACACACACACACACACACACACCTGTGCATGACTTACCTATTTCAGGGTTTTTGTTACAATAATCTGGCGATTCCTCGAAATACACGAGATCATGTTTTGTGGCTTTCTTGTGATTTTTGTTGGCTATATTAAAACCCGTGCCGTCCTGGTTCATTGTCACTTGTGTGGCACTGTTATATTTATTCTTGATATAATTTCCAACTTTTCGGAATTCTTGCATAGCTAACCAACACGTCCTAATGGCACATGAGCCGCTCACGCCGTGACATTTACATTCGAGTTTCATGAAACGTTTCACTGCCTGGAATAAAATGACGAAAAAAAAACTTAATGTTGATGACTGGAAGCAAAATTGCATTTTTGTTGAATTGGTAATTTCATGATTTACTTAAATTCCTTGGAGGACCTCTCAGATTTCTTCACCTATATTATTCATTACGTAAAAGAATTAAGGACAATAGTCTTAAGTAATGTAAAAGAATAATTGTTAAACTGCATGCCCGGACTTTTGTGAGTGTAAAAAAATGTTGCTTTACGCTAGTTTGAAAATAAAGATATTTGCATTATGATATGTAACAATCAATTCAACTATCTGATAAACCCTGAACTTTCTAAGTTAGATAAATAGGATTTCTGTATTGTAAACATTGAATATTTTCAATACCGAAAGAAAAGTGTGAAAGTGTGGCTGTCACTCATAAAGGTGAGTCATATGGCAGAATACCAATCGTTACTTCTGGTTGTGCCACCTACTTGTTTAAAACGTTAAAAACGAAGCAATTATTTTATTTGAAGGAATTTGTCATTAGTTACACAGGACGATGTTTAAGAATCGCAGACAAAAGCGCGGTTTTCCTGCCTTGTCCCGTTTGTCTACTCATGTGCATATTGAATGTGCACCTTCACGTTTTACAGTCCCCTGGCAAAATGTTATAACACCATGAAAGGTGTGAGATTTTCTTTCTCTTCCCGTCTTTCTGTATTGGCACCTTCATCTTTCACTATCTTTTGGAAGGATGCTAAGTGAAACCATAAATCTCTTCAGGAACAGGTACGATGCTTTTCTAATTTATTTATTTACTTATTTTGAAATACTTTATTTAGTGTGCAGCTGAAGGAAGGGTGCTAAAATCTAAAAGGCATATAAACTCGTGAATTACCCATTCTAGATACAAGTTTATCTTGTTAATTCTGTGCCCCCCTCCCCCCCCCCCCCCTACCGAATAGTTGCCTCTTAATATAGTGGTCTTGCTTATATTGGAAAGTGGGGAAGTGTAGTCAAATAGATTAAATGTTTGTAGTAAGGTTGCATGAAAATACTAAAAATGTTAATTTTGTTTTCACTGTGGATAAATCTTACCCCCCCCCCCCTCCGGACGTAGCTAAGACGTGTGCCAGTGAAATCAGGTTCAGTCNACATTGCATGTGAACGAAGCCTATATCTCCGGATTGCCAACATATCAGTATGGTTGCCACTCGAAGTAGTTTTTACTTGTGCACGCTTATTTGACGTTTATTATGATGAGGTAAAGCGTATGCTAGAGAGTGTACGCTGAAGTTTCTCAATAAACAGTTCATTATTTTCAACTTATCCTAAAACTGCGAAATAAATACAAAGAGAATGTCGATATTTTAAAGCAGTTTAATATTCTATTAGCAGTGACTACCATGGAAATTGGCAAAAAAATATTTTAAAAAGAAGCACGAGTTTCATCAATACTAAGACTAAGACTACTACAATATTGCACCAAGGGGCAGTCCCCGTTCCATAGTTACATATTTACTTAGTGTTATAACGATGCTGATAAACGCAGTAATATATACAATACAATATCTGCTATAAATTCCTATAGTAATCCAACACAAAACAAACATATTATTTGTCTCTGTTTAAACCTCCGGTTCATAATAAATATGCACAGCTTTAAATACATTCAAATATGAATTATGTTCTGTTATAAATAAGGTACCGTCCCACAACAGCAGGATAAAGCAATATTATTTAAATAAGTGTCACTTTAAAAGAAGAATACAAATGAATATCTCTGAAATATCAACAAATTATATACATAATTTACATTATCAGAATGAAATAAACGGCTTTACATAATATCTTTAACAAAATCTACTAAATATATGGCCTATCTTCTAAAAAAAGATCTTTGCAATAGTAATAACATGTTAAAAGGCATTTTGACAATCATAAATACTTTACTGCTTCCTCATTTGGTCTACCACAAGTTCATGAAGACTTTCTCAATTTGAACGAGGAAGAGTTGGTTTGAGGAAGACAACATGATGAGCCTTCAGATAGAGTACAAAATACAAGGTAAAAGTCTCCATGTATCAAACTTGCTTCTCACTGCACAATCTGTATCGTATCGTTGTTTTCCTGGCAAACACAAAACATGACAATTTATTATAGTCCTTTTAGTAGCTTTCCAGCCAGCTTAATCATTTAATATAAGGCTGGGTTTTGATCGTACACAGCAGTTTTGGTTATGAATATTTACTGGCTCTTGATGCGATTCCATTCATACTGATATATGTGCATTATTCTTTTGCATAGTCTTTAAACAATTAGATCATCAAATGTGATATCAAGAACTGTTTCTCGCGCAAGGATGCTGTTTACTCTGCCTCGCTGGAAATATTTTATGTATCCTTTTTGCAACAGTTTCTCTCTCCACGTATATTTTGCTCACCGGTTTACATCCCCCAAGTCTTCTCCTTTTTTATTTTAAAGAGACTTGAATTTAATCTCCTGCAACCACTTTTTCATCGTTTTGTCACCGACAAGTATCAAACATCGTAACTGATAAAAAAAAATGACTTCAAAGAGACCCACTGGTCATTATCCGGGTTGCGTCACCGTCCAACCATCTCTTGAACCTATTACGATGCACATTATTGCTGTTTTTCCTGACGTTCGGTCCCTTGCAAGTGTGGACGTCGACGACGCGCGAGCACTCTTTGCACTTGACGTAGCAGCACCAGTGAAATTTGCACTCACATTTGGTAGTCTGTACCACAGTGGTGGTGTCGTACCCTCTTCCACAGCACATGATATCACAGCCGTCTGTACCCATGGAGTCCTTCTTACACTCCCGTCCTGCTGTACCGAAAGAGCCTGGGGAAATGAGAAAAAGGAGTGATTATTTTCTGAACCATTCTGGTCTATTTGTAGTTTTTGTCTCTTTGAATGCATCATTTTTTCCTTTCAAAACATGTTAACAATTTCCATATTAGCTGTTGATTGAAGAAAAAAAATTCTACTTTATTCCTATGTTTCTTTTTACATTAACATATTCCATCATTAATATATTCCAAATTTAAAATTGGAAGAACCTCATGTAATTCATTTAAAGGTATTATCTCCGGGATATACAATTATTACTTTGTCTCAGTCACATTAGACTCGAAATTTGTAGTTCATTGCCATGCTTGAATAATTAAGGTAACACACACACACACACACACACACACACACACACACCTGTGCATGACTTACCTATTTCAGGATTTTTGTTACAATAATCTGGCGATTCCTCGAAGTACACGAGATCATGTTTTGTGGCTTTCTTGTGATTTTTGTTGGCTATATTAAAACCCGTGCCGTCCTGGTTCATTGTCACTTGTGTGGCACTGTTATATTTATTCTTGATATAATTTCCAACTTTTCGGAATTCTTGCATAGCTAACCAACACGTCCTAATGGCACATGAGCCGCTCACGCCGTGACATTTGCATTCGAGTTTCATGAAACGTTTCACTGCCTGGAATAAAGTGACGAAAAAAATCTTTATGTTGATGACTGGTAGCAAAAGTGCATTTTTGTTGAATTGGTAATTTCATGATTTACTTAAATTCCTTGGATGACCTCTCAGATTTCTTCACCAATATTATTCAATACGTAAAAAAATTAAAGACAATAGTCTTAAGTAATGTAAAAGAATAATGTTAAACTGCATGCCCGGACTTTTGTGAGTGTAAAAAAATGTTGCTTTACGTGCACAATACGCTAGTTTAAAAATAAAGATCTTTGCATTATGATATGTAACAATCAATTCAACTATCTGATAAACCCTGAACTTTCTAAGTTAGATAAATAGGATTTCTGTATTGTAAACATTGAATATTTTCAATACCGAAAGAAAGGTGTGAAAGTGTGGCTGTCACTCATAAAGGTGAGTCATATGGCAGAATACCAATCGTTACTTCTGGTTGTGCCACCTACTTGTTTAAAACGTTAAAAACGAAGCAATTATTTTATTTGAAGGAATTTGTCATTAGTTACACAGGACGATGTTTAAGAATCGCAGACAAAAGCGCGGTTTTCCTGCCTTGTCCCGTTTGTCTACGCATGTGCATATTGAATGTGCACCTTCACGTTTTACAGTCCCCTGGCAAAATGTTATAACACTATGAAAGGTGTGTGATTTTCTTTCTCTTCCTGTCTTTCTGTATTGGCACCTTCATCTTTCACTATCTTTTGGAAGGATGCTAAGTGAAACCATAAATCTCTTCAGGAACAGGTACGATGCTTTTCTAATTTATTTATTTTGAAATACTTTACTTAGTATGCAGCTGAAGGAAGGGTGCTAAAATCTAAAAGGCATATAAAATCGTGAATTACCCATTCTAGATACAAGTTTATCTTGTTAATTCTGTGCCCCCCTCCTCCCCCCCCCCCCCTACCGAATAGTTGCCTCTTAATATAGTGGCCTTGCTTATATTGGAAAGTGGAGAAGTGTAGCCAAATAAATTAAATATTTGAAGTAAGGTTGCATGAAAATACTAAAAATGTTAATATTTTTTTCACTGTGGATAAATCTTACCCCCCCCCCCCCTCCGGACGTAGCTAAGACGTGTGCCAGTGAAATCAAGTTCAGTTGCAAATAGTTTGCCAAGATTGGTGCTTCTCTTCCATTTTTATCTGACCCTGACTAAAACTTCTCAGCCTACATTAACCAAGTAATGGCTCAACATGTAATGTGACTTTACCGAAGAGACTTAAATTCAACACGGACGTCAGCAGACCAAAAATATTCCAATATCGTCAAGTTTGTTTACTGTTATAGCTGCCGGGATAAATACAACTACATCGGATAAAAGCACCCGTCGCCATTTATATTCCAAAGTGAAAAAAA